AAGTGGGAGGATCAGCGAGCGCAGGAGTTCAAGACTAGCTTGGGCAACATGGCAAGACCCCGTCTCTACAAAAAAGAAAAAAACCCTGCAGAAATGATGTGTCATTCTTGGTGCATCTTATCAGGAGCATGTGCTGTAGGTTAAGCGGGTCTCTGCCAGGTGTTTTCACTGTTATAACGGTATGATGTTTTTCATTTGTAATTAAGTGTCTTGGGGGGAGATAATGTGAATATCTTAGATCTTGTCAACCTTTCACCCACTCATTTTAACATCTATTAAAGGTTCTTCCCTGAATGAATTATTACTATGATGGTTGTTCCGTTGAACTCATTACATTCAGGCTTTTAGCCTCAATGCTGCCGAAACAACCCTTTGCTGGGTGAAATGGTAACTCTTGAAGATCACTGGTGTCCATCAAGACATTAAGTTCAAAGGTCAATTTGGATCATCATATTTGACTTATCTGTACCATTTGATACAATTAATTATACTTTCCTATTTAAAAAACTGTCTTCACTTGACTTCTGGGATGTCTCTCCCCTGTCTTTTTGTTTTTGTTTGTTTCATTGAGACGGTCTCGCTGTGTTGCCCAGGGTGGAGTGCAGTGGTGCTATCATAGCTCACTGCAACCTTGATCTCCCAGGCTGAGGCAGTCCTCCCTCCTCAGCCTTCTGAGTAGCTGGGACCACAGGTGTGTGCGCCCACACCCAACTACTTTGTTTGATTTTTAGTAGAGAAGAGGTCTCGCTATGTTGCTGAGGCTGGCCTTGAACTCTTGAGCTCAAGCAGTCTTCCCACTTTGGCCTCCTAAAGTACTGGGATGATAGGCATGAGTCACCTCTCCCAGCTCCTCTCCTCTCTTGATTCTCCTGTTACCACACTGGTTACTCCTTTCCAGTAAAGGCTGATCCCTCCTCACCTCTGTGACCTCTGAAGGTTTGAGTGCCTACAACAGTGCTTGCACTGTTTCTCTTCTCTCTTTGTTCTCATTCCCTTAGTGAACTGATCCAGTCTCAAGGCCAACAACTCCTGAGTTTGCATCTCCAGCCAGGAGTTCTCTTCAGACTTGTCTACCCAGTGGCTATTTGGCATCTCCATTTTCGTGTTAAATACACATCACAGATTGAACAGCTCTGAAACTGAACTCCTGATTGTCATCCCCAAACCTGCTCCTCCTGCATTAGTTCCCTTCTTCGTGAATGGCAGCTTCATCTTTCTAGTTGCTCAGCAAAAAACCTTGGCGTTATCTTGGACCCTTCTTTTTATTTTCCACCCAAATCCAATTTGATGGCAAATCCTGTTGGCTGTGCCTTCAGAATACATCCTGATTTTGACTGCTCTGTATCTCCACAGTTACCACATTCTTCAAGCTGCATCATCATTTGTCTGGCATATTACAGTAACCTCCTACCTCATCTGTGTGCTTCTTCCTTCTCAACAAGACAACACAAATGCTGTTGGTTAAAAAAAAAAAAAAAGGCAAACCAGAAGTCAGATATTATCACTCCTCTGCTCAATTTCTCTCTCCCCTTCACGGCTTTTATCTTATTCAGAGCGAAAGTCTGTAATCACCTATATGGCTCTGCACAGTCTGGCCCTACTACCTTCATCGTTGGTTACTCCTCTCCACCTTGCTCACTTTTCTCCAGCAACAATTTGTCTCCTTGCTGTTCTTCAGAAATACCAAGTGTGCTGTCATCTCATAGTCTTCGCTCTTTTTATTTTTATTTTATTTATTTATTTATTTATTTATTTATTTATTTTTTTAGACAGAGTCTCGCTTTGTTGCCAGGTTGGAGTGCAGTGGCACCATCCCCGCTTACCACAACCTCCGTTTCCCGGGTTCAAGCAATCCTCACGCCTCAGCCTCCAGAGTAGCTGGGATAACAGACACATGCCACTACCGCTGGGCTAATTTATGTATTTTTTGTAGAGACGGGGTTTCACCATGTTGGCCAGGCTGATCTCGAACTCCTGACGTCAGGTGATCCACCGGCCTCGGCCTCCCAAAGTGCTGGGATTACAGGCGTGAGCCACTGCGCCTGGCCTATTTTTCTTTTTTGAGACAGAATCGGAGGCTGGGTGCAGTGGCTCACACCTGTAATCCCAGCACTTTGGGAGGCTGAGGCAGGTGGATCACCTGAAGTCTGGAGTTCAAGACCAGCTTGACCAACATGGAGAAACCCCATCTCTGCTAAATTTCAAAATTAGCTGGGCATGGTGGTGAATGCCTATAATCCCAGCTACCTGAGAGGCTGAGGCAGGAGAATTGCTTGAACCCGGGAGGCAGAGGTTGCAGTGAGCCGAGATCGTGCCATTGCACTCCAGCTTGGGCAAAAAGAGCGAAACTCTGTCTCAAAAAAAAAAAAAAAAAAAAAAAAAAAAATTAGGTCAATTTATTTTATTTTTTGAGACAGAATCTCGCTCTATTGCCTAGGCTGAAGTGCAGTGGCGCAATCACGGCTCATGCAGCCTCAACCTCCTGAGCCCAACTGATCCTCCCCACCTCAGCCTCCTGAGAAGCTGGGACCACAGGCTCTCGCACTACATCCGGCTAATTTTTTGTAGAGACAGGGTCTCCCTGTGTTGCTCAGGCCGGTCTCGAACTCTGGGACTCAAGCGATCCACCAGCCCGGGCTTCCCAAAGTGCTGGGATTACAGACGTGAACCACTGACTCCGGCCAGTCCAGTTTTTAGATGCTTAAGTGCCAGGCATGATTTGCACTTTTTTTGAGACGGGGTCTGGCTCTGTCACCCAGGCTGGAGTGCAGTAGCACGATCTCGGCTCACTGCAAGCTCCGCCTCCCGGGTTCACGCCATTCTCCTGGCGAGCTGGGACTACAGGCGCCGCCACCACGCCCGGCTAATATTTTTGTTTTTTTGTTTTTTTTTTTTTTTAGTAGAGACGGGGTTTCACCGTGTTAGCCAGGATGGTCTGGATCTCCTGACCTCGTGATCCGCTCGCCTCGGCCTCCCAAAGTGCTGGGATTACAGGTGTGAGCCCCTGTGCGCGACCCTGATGAGCCATTTTGGATCCAGGGATTTGTCAGGTGTGTTGGATGAAGCCCAGTTATATCCTTATCTCTGGCTTCATCGTGTCATCCCAGTTTGGAAGCCCATTAGGAAAGTGAGCTCTGCTTTGTTTTTAGTGATCACTACATTTTTTTCCTCAATTCAGAAAAAGTACATGAGCATGTAAAGCATCAGAGTTGTTGCTGTGAACAGTCTCTATGGGGTTATAAAAGGGGACTCTGAAACTCCACTTATTTCTCACTACAGAGTGTAAAAGGGCCCTTTGTCATACATGGGTCAAGGTCCAGAGTTTGACCTTGGTTGAAAGGATGCACTGCTGAGAAGATGGCGTGTGCAGGGAAAAAGCCGCTTGTGTGGCAGTCTGGCGTAGGGTGACTTTGCTGTATGCGGTATAACTTTTGCGCCTTGTCTCTACTAAGAGTCTGGACTTTGCATAAGTGCTTCACAGGATGTGAACATCTCCCTTTTTTTGAGCAAGGGATTTGTGGTAGGCTGGGATGAGAGAATTTGATTTCCAAATCAGAATTAATGAATGTTTCTACCATGCTTAGAAATACTATTTAAGCAAGGCTCTGAAGTTGCTTAACTTTTGTCTCTCTTTGAAATTCTAGGGTGACAATGAAGAACAAGAAAAATTACTGAAGAAAAGCTGTACGTTATATGTTGGAAATCTTTCTTTTTACACAACCGAAGAACAAATCTACGAACTCTTCAGCAAAAGTGGTGACATAAAGAAAATCATTATGGGTCTGGATAAAATGAAGAAAACAGCATGTGGATTCTGTTTTGTGGAGTATCCTTCCTGTGGATGGAATGTGGCTGCTGAACTGGGGTAGAGCTGAGAGTAGTAGCTCATAAGCCTCCCTGCACTTGCCCCTACGTTTTCCCTCGTCTCCCTCCTACCTTCTGTCCAGTGTCACTGCTCTTTTTTTTTTTTTTTTTTTTTTTTGACAGTCTGGCTCTGTTGCCCAGGCTGGAGTGCACTGGCGCCATCTTGGCTCACTGCAAGCTCCACCTCCTGGGTTCACGCCATTCTCCAGCCTCCCGAGTAGCTGGGACTACAGGCGCCCACTACCACGCCTGGCTAATTTTTTGTATTTTCAGTAGAGATGGGGTTTCACCGTGTTAGCTAGGAGGGTCATGCTCTCCTGACCTCGTGATCCGCCCGCCTTGGCCTCCCAAAGTGCTGGGAGTACAGGCATGAGCCACCGCTCCCAGCCATGTGAAGTAAATATTTATTGAACAAATGAATCAACATTTCCCTCCACAAAAGGGAGACACCTTATTAATTTTGTTCAGCTCTGTATTCCTTCACCTAACCTCGTGCATAGTGTGTGTGTTGGAAGAAGGAGCGATGCATGCCGTTAGGGAGATGCGGGTGCCGTGAGAGGAGGCTGGCCATTCGGGGCATGGAGAGGTTACCTGGGAGGCTGTTGAGGAAGCATCTTTCGTGGGCTTCCAGAATGCGAGAGAAGGGGAGAACTGGAAGGAGGATTCTGGTTGACTCGGTCTGTGTTGGCATTTTTACAGCTGTAAGGAAGCCAGGAACAGGAGGAGGAGGATTTGTTTGAGGGTGAAGGAAGGATAATGGATGAGTTCAGTGTCCATTCAGCAAAAGCATTTATGGATGTATCCTATGTTAGGTGCTGTCCAGACATACAGAGGTGAAGCAGACCCATCTTTGAAGTCTGGTAGTAGGATTAGTTGGGCTGTCCTGTTTGGGACTACTTGGGTGGGGCATGGGGGGAGGGATCAGGTGAAATATAACTCGAGGAAAGGCGGAGAAACAGCCTTTCCCACAGGAAAAAGGGAAAAGCCTAAGGCTTCTAATGGGATGGCCTTTTGGCCTCAGAGGAGGTGCAACTTCAGAAAGGCTTCCTGGGTGCTGGGACAGAGAAGGGCTTGGAGAATCTTCTGCATTTTTAACATCCCGTTTGTGACTCGCTTCCCCGTTTTCTTTCCCCCAGAACCTTTCAGCTCTTGGGGCATTGGTGAGTCTCAGTAATGCACGTCTCAGTTCCATCAAAACTCGGTAAGTCTTTGGCCCTGTTTCTTCTCCAGGGGCGTGTTCCCTTAGGAAGTGGGCATATGTACATCTTTCCTTTCATTGTCACCGCCCCCAGGATTCAAGACCTCTCTCTATTCCCAAGAATGTGGACAGTTACATTCCTTGTGTGAGCTCACTTGATTTGAACCTTACCTTTTCCAGCTCCCAGACGTCCTATTTCCCCTGGGATTACCTCTGCTGCCTTCTTTCTTTGCTTCTTCCACCTCACTCCAAGTATTTCGGGAGTTGGAAACCACAGTGGACTGGGAGTGAAGTCTTTCTGTAGCCTAGTGAGAATAAAAGAGCAGTCAGTCGCTGTCTCGGAAGTCTAGCCTCTGCCCACTTATCATGACTCTCTTGTTTCTTCGAAGGTTCGAGGGCCTGTGTCTGCTGTCCCTGCTGGTAGGGGAGAGTCCCACAGAGCTATTCCAGCAGCACTGTGTGTCTTGGCTTCGGAGCATTCAGCAGGTGTTACAGGTGAGGATTCAGCTGCTGCCCTACTTCCTCCTCTTCCCCCACCTTATTCCCCATCTTGGATGTGGCATGTTCTTTTCAACTTGAACGTGTAGTTCTGAGGACAGAATAATTGGAAAACAATTCCCTGATAGTGGAGAGGATAAGCTTCAAATAGAAACCTTTTTTTTTTTTTTTTTGAGATGGAGTCTCGCTTTGTCACTCAGGCTGGAGGGCAATGGCATGATCTGGGCTCACTGCAATCTCTGCCTCCTGGGTTCAAGTGATTCTCCTGCCTCAGCCTCCTGAGTAGCTGGGATTATAGGCCCCTGTTTGTATTTTTAGTAGAGACGAGGCTTTAACATGTTGGCCAGGCTGCTCTCAAATGCCTGACTTCAAGTGATCCGCCTGTCTCAGCCTCCCAAAGTGCTGGGATTACAGGTGTGAGCCACTGCACCCAGCCTATATGTATATTTTTATTTCAGTAGTTTTGGGGGAACAGGTGGTGTTTGGTTACATGGATAATTTATTTAGTGGTGATTTCTGAGATTTTGGTGCACCCATCACCTGAGCAGTGTACATTGTACTCAATATGTAGTTTTTTATCCCTCACCCATCTCCCACCCTTCCTCCCGAGTCCTCAAGAGTTCATTATATCATTTTTATGCCTTTGTGTCCTCATAGCTTAACTCTCAGTTGTAAGTGAGAACATAATGATGTTTGGTTTTTCATTCTTGAGTTACTTCACTTAGATTAATGGTCACCAATGCCATCCAGGTTCCTGCTAATGCCATCATTTTGTTCCTTTTTATGGCTGAGTAGTATTCCATGGTATATATACACCACATTTTCTTTCTTTCTATCTATCTATCTACCTATGTATCTATCTATCTATCTCTGATACAGAGTTTCGCTCTGTTGCCCAGGCTGGAGTGCAGTGGTACGATCTCAGCTCACTGCAATGTCTGCCTCCTGGGTTCAAGCAATTCTCTTGCCTCAGCCTCCTGAGTAGCTAGGATTACAAGTGTGCACCACCATGCCTGGCTAATTTTTAAAATTTTAGTAGAGATGGGGTTTCACCATGTTTGCCAGGTAGGTCTCGAACTCCTGACCTCGTGATCCGCCTGCCTTGGCCTTCCAAAGTGCTGGGATTACAGGCATGAGCCGCCACTCCTGGCCTATACCACATTTTCTCTATCCACTTGTTGGCTGATGGGTATTTAGGCAGGTTCCATAGTTTTGCAATTGTGAATTGTGCTGCTATAAAATATTGTGCGCAAGTGTCTTTTTCATATAATGACTTCTTTTCCTCTGGGGAGATGTCCAGTAGTGGGATTGCTGGATCAAATGGTAGTGATGTTGAGCATTTTTTCATATGTTTGTTGGCCATTTGTGTATCTTCTTTTGAGAATTGCCTGTTTATGTCCTTTGCTCACTTTTTGATGTGATTATTTGTTTTTTTCTGGCCGATTTGTTTGAATTCTTTGCAAATTCTGGATGTTAGTCCTTTGTCAGATGCATAGTTTGTGAAGATTTTCTCCCGCTTTGTGGGTTGTTTACTGATTTTATTTGTTTTGCTGTGCAGAGACTTTTTAGTTAAGTCCCATCTATTTATCTTTGTTTTTGTTGCTTTTGGGTTCTTGGTCATGAACTCTTTGCCTAAGCTAATGTCTAGAAGGGTTTTTCTGATGTTATCTTCTAGAATTTTTATGGTTTCGGGTCTTAGATTTAAGTCTTTGATCCATCTCGAGCTGATTTTTGTGTAAGGTGAGAGATGAGGATCCCGTTTCATTCTTCTACATGTGGCTTGCCAATTATCCCAGAACCATTTATTGAAAAGGGTGTCCTTTGCCCACTTTATGTTTTTGTTTGCTTTGTTGAAGATCAGTTGGCTGTAAGTATTTGGCTTTATATCTGGGTTCTCCCTTCTGTTCGATTGGTCTAGGTGCCTATTTTTATATCAGTGTCATGCTGTTTTGGTAACTGTAGCCTTGTTGTATATTTTCAAGTCAGGTAATGTGATGCCTCCAGATTTGTTCTTTTTGCTTCGCCTTGCTTTGACTTTGTAGGATATTTTTTGGTTCCATGTGAATTTTTGGATTGTTTTTTCTAGTTCTGTGAAGAATGATGGTGGTATTTTGGTGGGAATTGCGTTGAATTTGTAGATTACTTTTGTCAGTATGGCCATTTTCACAATATTGATTCTACCTATCCAAGAGCATGGGACATGTTTCCATTTGTTTGTGTCGTCTATGATTTCTTTCACCTGTGTTTTGTACTTTTCCTTGTAGACATCTTTCACCTCCTTGGTTAGGTATAGTCCTAAGTATTTTAATTTTTTTGCAGCTGTTGTAAAAGTGGTTGAGTTCTTGATTTTATTCTCAGCTTGGTTGCTGATGGCGTACAGCAGTGCTGCTGATGTGTGTATATTGATTTTGTATCCTGAACCTTCACTGGCTTCATTTATTAGCTCTAGGAGCTTTCTGGATGAGTCTTTAGGGTTTTCTAGGTATATGTTCATATCACTGGTGAATAGCGACAGTTTGACTTCCTGTGCCGATTTAGATATCCTTTATTTCTTCTTCTTTTTTTTGTTTTGTTTTTTTTTTTTAGATGGAGTCTCTCATTCTGTTGCCCAGGCTATAGTGCAGTGGCACAGTCTTGTCTCACTGCAGCCTCTGCCTCCTGGGTTCAAGCATTTCTTCTGCCTCAGCCTCCCAGGTAGGCAGGATTCAGGCGCCTGCCACTCCGCCTGGCTAATTTTTGTATTTTTAGTAGAGATAGGGTTTCGCCATGTTGGCCAGTCTGGTCTCGAACTCCTGACCTCAGGTGATCTGACTGCCTTGGCCTCCCTAAGTGCTAGGATTACAGGTGTGAGCCACTGCGCCTGGCCTAGACGCCCTTTCTTTCTTTTTCATGTCTAATTGCTCTGGCTAGGACTTCCAGTACTGTATTGAATAGAAGTGGTGAAAGTGGGCGTCCTTGTCTTGTTCCTGTTCTCAAGGGGAATGCTTTCAACTGTTTCCTGTTCAGTATAAGGTTGGTTGTAGGTTGGTCATACTTGTTACTCTTTTAACGTCTTAATTTTTTCCCCTACTTTTACATCCTTTGGTAACATCTCCACTTAGTTATTTAACAAGCATTTCTAAGCACATATGGCAGGCCTGGGGTGTACCAAGCTCTGGGGAGACAGCGAGATGTACGTGGCCCTGCTTTCTTGGTGCTCAGAGTCTAGCACTTTTTCTGTGAAGTATATGTTTGCAAATAGGAAGTGTTTATGCTTTGTGAACCACATATAGTTTCTATTGTATATTGTTTGTTTTCCAATCCTTTAAAATGTAAAAGCCATTCTTAGTTTGTGGGCTATGCAAAAACAGGCACCCGAAGACCATCATTTGCTGATTCCTGTTCTAGTTGAAGATACTTCTTTTTTTTTTTTTTTTT